GAAATTGATGGGGCTTTCGGAGTGTAGGGTCAGAATCGTTATACTTGCCGTCACTGGGCCCTGAGTGTCCCAAGTATCTAACATGTGGTCCTGGGATGAGAGCAGTCTGCAGTCACTTGGACAATCAAGGCCAGCGCCAACCCCATTGTTTCGGACGCTCCATATCTTGAGTGAACTATTTGACTGCCAGCCAAACAAAAAAGGGTTTGGTTACCACAAGTTGGGTTTCGAGGGCGCAGAGCAAACACTGACATTAGCACGACTGCTGGTCTGTCGCAGCTGAGCCGCGAAGGCCACGGCCAAGGCAGATACAAGGCAATATACCAATCCTCGGAAGAATCAGCCGAGCTTGAACGGCTGCAACTTAGTTGCTCCCTCAGCTCCCTGGAGTACGCACTGGATTTTATGATGTGACACCCCTAGAACCAAGCGGAGGTTCCAGCCATACCTGCGATCCAACAGTATAGGTCTGGGCCTCAAGGTGCTAAGCCATGCTTGAGGGAGCCACCAACCCTACCAAAGGCATAGAAACTGCAGTGCAGGGTTTGTGTTTAGTGGCTGGCCGCAGAGTTATTTGGGGATGGTGCATGAGTAGTTCTGCACGAACACCGTAGCTGCATTTTTAGCACAAAATGCAAACAACAAACATGAACTGCATGCCTTGGCTATACTGTACTTACAGACCGAAAGCACGACAACACTGCACAGAGCCATCGTGAAAGGGCTGGCGGCTAGCATCTCAAGCCAGGGAAAGCTGTTGAACTGGACAGAAAGTCAACCTTCTTGTTGTCAAAACACTAATCGGTCCGCAAATCCTCCTGCGTTACAGATTCCATTGAATATGCGCAAGGCTTTGAAGCCCGCGCTTGATCTGGGTAAAGCCCTATAAGGGTTGACAGCTGGCGGATGGAGACTCGAACATGGACCTCTAGCCTGCATGCAAGAAACTTTCAAGATGCCAAACGTGAGGGTCCGAACAACAACACAAGATCTTCTGTGGTACGCTCCAAGCTCGCAGTGGCTCGCAGTGGCTCGCAGCTGCAGCCGCGGAATGTCATGAGAATGGAAACTGAAACACACGCTGAATCCCGATCGGGCGGCCCATTGCACCGAACACCTGCGCAGGGGTGGAACACAACACCACTGTTTGAGGACGTCCAGGGTTTCCTGATACTTGCTGAGGGTCTTGGGTATCGATATCAATTTCAGGTGTTTCGGGTTGACCGGGTTCCGGAGTTAAGCAGAAACACCTTGATGCAAGCATGCTTGCACCGCTCGTGAAAGGTCAGGGAGGCCACGCCTGTTCAGGATCCAAGTGATTCCTTCCCAAGCTGAGTTGTGAGACTACAGCTCTGTTCGTGTCACAAGCCGCTGCCAACACGCAGGGGCATTGACCAACCGGATGTCATGATTCCACGAAAAGCATCCCCTTTCCGAAAGTCACCCCAAGCATCAAGTTCAACTTGTGGGCCAACATCGAAGTACAAGCTGCCATATTAGCTATCAGCTATCACGCACATCCTGGACCCCTAAACCTCGAACCAGCACTTGGCCTGCAAGGCGAAAAAACTGCTCGAGAGCTCTCGCCCTATACCTCGGTCCAGCGGCCACTGAGACTGGTCTCCGGCGTGTCCACAATCTTGGGCATCAAGCCAACATCCACGCGGCGTTGCTTGACATGCTGTTCGCTCACAATCAAACTTGACATGGCAGACTAGCTATGGCAGACAGGAGCGAAAAGTTGGGACTTCTTCTTCGCAACTGAGTGGGACCGGCGCACGAAGCGTCAATCCGCTGCTGAAACACCCTGCGATGTGACAAGTTGCCACAAAACTTCACTGCCCTGCTGCCCTCCCCTCTTATCCGCTCTTGAGAGCGTGGAAATGTTGCGACTCGACTAGAGTACAGTGGCACCACTGCTCGAGCACTCACGCAATTGTGACGTAACTTTGATTTGTTTGCTCAGAAGACAACATGTCATGCGTGTCTCATGCCAGAGGCAGAAGAGTTCAAGAACACGATGGTCAACGCAAAGAAAACCTAAGAAACTTCGATAAAAAACACACTGACGACCACATGAGCAACGGAGACTGCCTCATGACGGAAAACCAAGTGCCGTCCGCACAGTTTACGCAAAACACAAAAAGCAAATGGCATGGCAGTTCGCACAAGAACCTGTGCGAAGAGCAACCGGCTGGCAAAACCGACATGAACACTTCGGCAGGGACGACCCGCGCAGACGTCGCACATCTTCCGCATGAGCTGCGAAGTGGCTGTCGCGAGTGGCAGCTTCCGGCCGCAGACGAAGCCAATTCCCTTGCATCCCCCGGCCCAGCAGCATGGAATCTATGAAGTCCACGGAGTGGCGAGCGGAGAGAGGCTTTTGCGCGGGGAAAAGTCGAGATTTTGCCATGCAGCAGTTGGACGAGGATGCGGGCCCGGACTAAAAGGTTGCTCGCATGGCGGGGGTGCGCCGGAGAGCCGCGAGGGGAGATGCTCTTGCAATGCGCCATTCACACCCGTGCACGGCATCCACGCTTACAGTGTCGGCTAAGTTCTGTTTGCGTTCGGTCCATTCGGTCGGAAACCCTTAGAGATGAATCCTCAGCCGACCGGCACTTTTCCGATGTTTCACATTGTTTCACCATCGTCTGCCTGTCAGCGGACGGCGCAAGGATAGCAAGCACGGCACCAAGTCCAGAAATAGCTGCCGCACGCATCGCCAATTGTTCCTGAAGCAGTTATTGCCACAGCGGGCGAAGCACTGATCTTGCACTGCCTCTCGTCTGCGAATCGGCCTGGGCCGACACAGTTGAGCTTTTGGACTCCATGTCGTTCATGTCTGTACTTGCTGTCCCACTTAATGATCTTAATGAGCCGAGCGCAACCATGCACCTCCCCGGCAACTTTGGGCGCATCGGGTTGGACAGAAGCAATCGAGAGATATCGATTTCTTATTCGGATTGAACAGAATTCGGCATTCCTGTTTGCACAGTGACTGCATGCGTGTCTAAGTCTGTGTGATGGATCGCTTTGAGCCGCGGTGCGGGTGTACGAAGGATCAGGTCCGTTCTTTCGGCTTACGCGCGAGCCTCATGACCAGACGCCATCGGATTTGACACTTGTATTTCGCGTTTTTTCGTGCCAAACTTTAGCAAGACTGTACTGATCTGTTGCCCCCGTGTAAACCGAAAGCTTACAAAGAACCCTGCAGTTCCTAACCTATGAAACCCGACACGGCAGGCTGACAGGCGGCTTTTGATCAGCGCTTGCATGCAGTTCCAGCTCTCCACCTGAGATGCTGGAGAATCCTCTCGGACTCAAGCCCTTCAGCTCGAAAGGTCTCGAAACAACTAGAACAGGACTTAGGCTTGTGTAGTCCAACAACCGCTTCTCGGTCGCTGGATAGTGCATGACCACGGAAACGAGCTCCTGTACGATGGATGTCTTCCCGCCGAGCTTCAACATCACTCTGGGAACTTATAACTCGAATGCGGAGACACGTCGCCGGCTTGATGACGTCTTCCGTTAAGGGTCATGAGATTGGACGATAGACGAGAGATGAGTTCTGCTCTTGCGTGCAAGAGTGAAAGGTCTTGGTGCCTTGCAGGTTGGGGTGATATTCCAAGTTCCGGCTTCTACGTACAATTACTACAGGCCTGAGTGGCTCCTTAAGGGCTTCTTCAACCGCACCAAACACAAGCAGCCCTGAAGCGCTCAACCTCCAACAGTAGACACTGAAAGCCTCTTCCGACCGCCAGATCATTCCTGTCACCCGCTGCCTGGAAAATCTCCGTAGCCATGCAAATCCTGGAGCATCCACGAAACTGTTGAAGTCCTTTGTTTGAAGATTTGCGAGTATCTGCATGCCAGGCGCTCCGAAGTGGAAATTTCGGTCTTGCAAGATTTCGTAGCACCAACAGTCGAGGCCTGGGAGGTTGGAGGCTCCGGGGGCTTCAAGTTTTCTTTGGACAAGCAGAGTGTGATCTGCGATATGCAGGTAGTACTTTCTTTGGATGGGTGATTTGGGCTTGCGCGCTGCCAAGCCTGCTGAGAGCTCAGGGAATTATTGTTCAGGGGTGGTTTTTTGAGTCGTTGGCAAGACAACTCTTATCCCAGGGTTGGCGCTGTGGGTTCCATCACGAAAGACCAGCCAAAGGATTCCTGTGCTCCTGATGCCGCATCGAGCAGTACAGAGTGCATTGAGCCAGGCTCCGAAACATCGATTCCCTGCCCTGGGATCTGATTATCTTAAACCTTCAGCTGCGCGGCTGAGGTCCATTCCGTGCAGGGAGTGGGCTTGCACATAGGCAACCTGAAAGCAGGGAGATGGTGGTTGTCATTGTTTATGGCCTATCGTAGAGTAGTTTCATAAGGTTTCAGGTTCTTGGCTGGCAGTTTTTGCCGGATTGGGTTTGTGGAAAGCCCTCACCCTGTAGCATCTGCCTCGAGCGGTTAGCCTTGACCAGCCTATTTACCTAGTTGCCTGGCTGTCAGCCCCCCAAAGAGTATCCTGCACCATTAGGATTAGTAGGGTTTAACGACTGACCTTTTAGGTTCCAGGGCTGTAGGTTTACGGCAATATGGTATATGCTTACCGACGCCAAAGTGGCAAATGTTGCCTGCCTAGCTGATAGCAGCATGATTTTGGCGAGCACCCTGCATCAGCGTCGGCCCTCTTGTCACTGAGGCATCCGGAACAATAACCCAAAACCCCTTCAACCCACAACACTTAGCCCAAAACGATGAAGGCCCTAAGCTTCAGCGGTGTGTCAGGCAAGCCTTCACTCTTCGCACGGCCGGGAAGCTGCACAATTCGATGTGACAGTAGGATCCCTGCCAAAACCATAGGCCTTGTTAAGGAGGGGGCTTCAAGTATGGCATTTCATTAAGTACGGCTTTACCTGAAGAGCCCTACGCCGTCTTGGACCCGATCTGATTCACGTTGGATGGATGTTCGTGCCAGTGCGTGGGGCCTTTCGGCCACTAAGCTCCGGCGTCTAGGGCTCGAGGTGCAAGCCCAACCCCCCATGCCGAGCAGCAAGAAAGATCACGGCAGAAGCCAGGATAAAACTCATGGTGAAGATCAGCTGCCCAAGCAGCCGGAATGCGGCGGAAGTTTCGGAGATTGGTGGCGGCTGGATAACACCGCTTCCTCAGTCCACTGGGACCCTGCACTAGTCACTCGCAGCGCTGCTCTTGACTTTGCTACGCGATTCTCTGAGCACCGTGAAATTTGGGAAACATACCCCGGGACATGGAAAGTCTAACGAATGCAAGCCTCAAATGACATAAATCTGTTCCATGGCCAAGGTCCTACAATCAGAAGACGATTTAGGGGAATCTATCGGTCAACTCACTACGGAAGATGGGCACTGGCCTCGGCCCCAGAAACCGAACAGGTCTCACCCTAGCACTGATCTCCTCAATAGAGGCCTACACCATGAACTGAATCCGTCTACCAGAAGACCCGAGCCGAGCAGTTGGTTCTGTGCCCACGAGTCTGAATCTCAATCTGTTCAGGGTCTCGGGGCCAAACACTGAAAACTGCTCCCAACAAGTTAACATGGCGGTTTTACCACTTAGCCATGCGACGTCCGTGGCAGGTCGAATTGGGGGTTTCCCCAATGAGGGACCTTAAGGCAGTACCCTAGATAATTAATTAGTAGGCTCCTTATTATACCGACCCCCAAATAAGGTACCCCTTATTTTCTGCAGCTTCGGGCAGCACTACACTACACCGATAGAACCCAGACAAAGATGCAGCACTGGGCTTAAGCAAGCTGACAACACGACCCAGCCCTGAAGCGTGCTAACACCCGAAACCATAGCAGCCAATCTAAGGCCTTGATAACTCATCAGAAAACGGCTGCGGGGCTTTACCCAAACCCCGACATCGCACTTTCTCTCCGAAGAAGTCGAAGCGCTTAGCTTCCACTCCTCCAATGTTGCGACGAAAGAAATGACCTCGGCATGGGATGGTAGCGTTTGTCATGAAGAAACCATCCAAGTAGGCAGCGCAATTCTAAAACAGGGCGTATAATAATGGGACTGGTAATGATACTATGCAGGCTGAGAATAGTCTAATAGAGTGCCGGATGATACTGTTCATGCATTTATGGCATGAGAACCATCAATTGGTTCAGGCCCTGTGAATCCTTGAATCGACTTGGACGACCAGCAAGCAGTGCAATGTTGGGCGCTCGTTTGTGGGCTTGATTCCAGATGGAGTTGAGCGTCTTCTATCGGGGCCAAGATTTTGCTTACACGCGCCCGATAGCCCACACTGTTAATGGTGGTTTGCAGGCATTCATGATCTGCAGGGCTAGCAATCTTCAGACTCCTACCGGCACGGCTCATAGACAGCACTTGTTGAAGCTGCAGGTACCAAGAACCGGCCGTGAACCAAACTCAAGTCCGAGCTACATCCGAATGGAAAGTCATTTCAGGAGGGATTCGGGCTTGGGCTTCAGGATTTCGTAAACTCTCACGACACACTGCAGTCTCTTGAGCGGTCTGTGCCGGTGCGGACCCTCCGTTACCAACTATTGGCAACAGTGCTATGACCTTTGCTTACTTAACGGCATAAGATTGGGTCTTTTGGAGGGGGACTTGCCGTGCCATCAAGCAGGACAGGAACTTCCGGCTTCACATGGTCCCCCAGCCTGAAGATGTATCTGACTAAACTCTGAGCCTGGCCATGTGCTCAACCGAACTGCCAACCTTAGCCGGGTCGTCGGACCTCTTCTCCTCATCTGCAAGCGCCTCGCATAACTTCTGAGTTAAGGGTCCTAGACTAGAGACTGTTCTGCTGGCGTGTCGCAGAAATCAGCCAGCCCAGGAAATGTTGTCGACGCAGTCGGCGAGAGACCTCCGACCACCTTTGTCGACGAGTTCGCAGTTGAATTATAGTCTGGATTTGAACCGAGCTATCTTGGGAATTTGAGGAGGCCGAAGCAGCGATGGCAATGATTCAGGAGAGTGTCGCCTCGGCCTTTTCATCACCCTCCTTCTGTTCGCCGACCCAACTTGTTGAATGTTTGGTGTTTAGCGCCATGAGTCCTCGCAGATCATACCCCAAAGGAGGAGAAGTCTTACGAAAACTGCATGCAGACAAATCACAGCGCAATCATACTGAGGGCGGTGTTGCTCGTACTACCCCCAGCAGTTTGCTCTGCGAGGTCTGGATGACAACCCTAAGCCGAAAACATGAAGGAGGGCGAGCCAACTGGCAGTGCTGCATCCGCGCACAAAGCCGAATCAGCACATCCAAGCTGAGCTTTTCGGCCCTAGACCCAAAACCCTGTACAGCGACCCAATGTTTCCTCTCAACCTTGGACCTGCAATAGACTCGCTCAGCGGCTCTTCAGAGTTTTGGATAAACCTTGGTGGCCGCTGCTTCGAGTTGAAGGAACTGAAGGATTCCGTAAACCCCACACCGGTCCTACATCCTACACCCTTTAAGTCACCCTTTCACCAGACGTTGACTTTCAGAATTTGGACAGGACCTGTCAGGTTGGGGCTTGACCGGGGCAAGCGACGTATTGTGGCTTTGGCCTTGGGAAATTCAGGGCATGGGCACTCACACTCGGATAATACAGCATCTAGGCTTTCTGGGCAAGGTGCTTTCCACCACATTGGAGGTTTGTTGTGCAGCAATATTTGGGCTTCGGTGTTATTATGATAGGTTGCTGCAACGAGCCGCCGGCAAGTGAAAGCACGTCGGCAGCTGCACTTCAAAGCACACGCGTGCACGCGCGCACACACACACACAAACACGAGCTCGCAAACACACGGACACACAAACACGCACGCGCACACACACACACACAAACAAACCCACCCACCCACCCACCCACCCACCCACCCACACACACACGCTCCCGGGCGCGCGTGCGCGTGCACATGGAACACTTGCTATAATGAATGTAATTGTGCATTTCAGGCATTTGTACGTATATGTACATGTATATGTGTATCAATTACGAGGTCATGGTAGGCACACCATACACTCAAAGGTTGGCGGCGGCTGCCAAGGGTCGGGACATGAGAAGTTTAGGAAAGTTGAGGGTTTGTGTTTCTCTCGGCTTTTAGGATTGAGGTCGTGAGCGAAACGGAAACACGCGCGAGTCAAAAAGTGGCACTGCTGCAGGGCTCAGTCTGAACAAGGCGGCAACTGCAAAGCCTTCAAAGCCGGAATCCTTCCAGAACAATTCCGACACTTTCAAGGTGGCTATGGTCGTCAACCCCACTATTGCTTAAACGAGAAGTATATCGCGAGGAGTGACAGAGCGAGAGAGCGCGCGAGAGAGAGAGAGGGCGAGAAGAACACAACGCAACCTACAAAAAACACACAAACACCGTGTGTGTCATGAGGGCTGCAGGAGTGGAATTCACGTCTGCATGCGAGGATCTATCCTAGGATGCGAGGCGAGGGGCCCGTGCAACTTTTCGATGGCCATGCTCAGCTCCCCCGAGCGCAAGGCTGTTCCTGGTTGGCTTTTGGCTATGCTGCTACTCACCGAGAAGCTCTGCAGCAGTACTCGCAGCATTTGCAACATTACTCATACATGTAAGTGCATGTATATACATGTATGTATAACGACAATAACAACGGTTGAATAGGAGTAGTAAGAACAATAGAAACACCTTGATGCAAATGCCACTGTTGTCGCCGTGGTGATGGTGGTGCTGGTAGTGAAAATCATGATGGCCACGGGGCTGGAATGCTGGTGATGGTACTGACGACGATGACGATGGGCATGCCGGCGGTGGCGGCAGCAACGGCAAAGCACAACTCACGAGGCTTATGGGACTGATGACGAGTCTGATGAAGGCAAAGACGGCAACACTGCAGAAAACAGCGATGGTGACACTGGTGGCAGCTAAAGATTTTGAATCGCAGAGAGTATAGTGGGTGGCGTAAATGGCGGCCGTGGTAATGGCACCACGGTGCCAAGGGTCACTAAGAAGGGTGCAAAGTACAGGGGCCGCAGGTTTCACGTTCCACTGAGTCTGTAAGATCCTGCAAATGCAAGCCGAGGTTCTCAGCAAGTGCATTCCCAAGGTGGCGCCACAGCAATAAACGACAACGGCTCCCGCGAAAAAGCTGTAGCCGATGGTCCGTTCATGGAGGGTGTCCACACCCGGCGAGAAGTGCGAAACAGCAAAATCAGTTCCGACATGGGCCAGGAGCGGCAGCAAAATCATCACAAAGTACAGCGACCTGGGAAAGGCGGAGGCGATCCTGCAGCCGACGTCCTCCAATGACTCTGGCTTCGCGCCCAGCTCCAAGATGAAGTTATCGAGGATGTGGGTATGGGACCTGCTCGCTTCTGCGCACAGCCGCAAAAGCACTCAAAACAAAATGAACCGGTGCATTTCCAAGACTAGTCAGCGCGAAACTCGGGCTGAGGGGTGCAGCAGGCCTGCGAAGCGCAAGAACAAATTTATTGAAGAGTGTTGAACAAGGTCCTTCGAGCAGAGACTAAGGACTCTTATAAAGATCCTTCCAACATGAGACAAGGCACTGTTTGCTAAGCTGATGCATGGACGGGCTCACGGGCAAATTTAGGCCCAATCTTGCACTTGTTGTGCCGGTGCCATCCTTCAGCAGGAATCACCGCGAGATTGGCTGTTAGAAGATTGCTTAAGGTTTATTACTGGCGAGATTGAACTTTCTGATCAAATGCCGATGTGAGTTCTTACGCGGCACAAAGTTCAAAGGGATGAAGTCGGTTCACAGCTTTGACGAGCTCGCCGTTGAACACTGCCGTGGAGGTTTAAGGTGCAGGGCGGAGGACCTGTGGTACTCCAGGTCACGGGGTCAAGGAATCAGAAGCTAGCTTGTCGCACGTGCCGTGGGCTGAATGAGGCCAATGACATTCGACTCAAGATCAGCAAAAGAACGGTCGACGGAATTCCTGACTCGACCTCATTGCAATCCACACCGAAGTTGGCAACATATGCGACCAACAATTAGGCACGACTTCCGTTTGGCGGTACACGATCTTTCTTGCAGGCTTCGCGAAAATCTCACAACCCCATAAATCCACGGAGCACGCAAAGGCCCCACACTCCACAGGGTCCTATTCACCTATTCTCTCACAATCGATCCCGAACCCCTGGGTGGCAAATCCCTGGTCTGACAGCTGCTGTAGATCAATCAAGCATCTCTTCTTGGTGGCACATGCTCGTCTGAATCTTGATCCTCTTCATCAGCCTGTGCAAGCGGAGGAACTTCTGTCAAACAATCCGTGTTCAATTGATCATCTCATCACATGTTTCCCAAGACCAGGAGTTGATGAGAAGCTCTGTGTCAGAGGCAGCTATCTCAAAGAGGGGATCTCACAGTTCAGGGTTTCCATGCGAGATCTGCTTATGCACCCCCCCCCCCTTGCCAGTGTGGCTAGAGGTAGTACCAGTTAGATCCGCCTTACAGAAACAATTAACACAAGGAACACATGTAGGTATGCTTTGGACCTCTTATTCACATACCCAGCGACCAGCGACCACGACTCTGTGAACAACCCAAGCTTAGACAAACGCCCAAGGATCGAGTCTTTCGTTTAAGGCTTCTACTCTCCCCACGAAGAACATCACGAAGAGCAACACATCGGAGTGGCCCAGGTGGTCAGTCTGCAGCTCGAATAGAGTTTGCCCTTCTGCAAATCTTACGGGGGCATTGCCTTCATTCTCACGGTTGAAAGCATGAAGTTTTGGTCTCAACCAACTCTGGAATGATGAAGGTTGTAGCTATAACTGTGTAGATAGAATCGGTCCTCGAACAAGATGTATCGGTTACTACAAACTTGTCGCCCGAGGGCAGCGAAACGACGCCAGGTCAGCTTTGCAAAGCGTTCTGTGATAACCGACATGCAACCTCGAAGCCCCACAACGCAACATTGAGATTTGGGTTCGGGTCTTGCTTTAATGAAATAAGTGCTGAACCAAGCTGATGTCCGACCTCGTTTAGCTTGCCGGGAAGAGAAGTCGGCGGCTCGGGCATCACTTGCCGGCCTTAAGAAAAGGGAATTTGCAAGACACCCATAGACAGCCTGTAGCCAAGTGTTGCCTCGACCTCATTATTGCTACATATTGCTAGCCTTCTGCGCACGGCTCATCGTTGGCATTCTAAGCACAGTTTAGCATATCTGCCAGGTCTGTGTCTGCCACGCTTATGACAGTGTTATTCGCAAGGATGCCAGCGGCAGCAGCAGTAGCTGTAACAGCAGCAGCAGCCGTAGCAGCAGCAAGCGAAGTACCAGTACAAGGGCAAGTAGTAGTATTAGTAGTAGCAGTAGTAGTAGTGATAATAATACTAGTAGTAGTAGTAGTAGAAGAAGAAGAAGAAGTACTACGGTGTGCCGGTACGGTAAGCGAGGGTTGATATTTGAGCAAGCCTCTGCGGCATATTTGGTCATCTTAGTGGGCCCCAAATTTGGGGGGTGGGGGGGGTTACGGATGTGATGCAAGCCTGGTCGGTCCGGCAAGATTGCACACACAGTCTTGGTAGAATTGGTCGTTGGTCGAATATCGACAGGGGGAGGGTTTCGATAATCGTGTAATCTTGGTAATCTTGCATCACTTGCGCCGCTTGAACCACTTGCACCACTTGTGCAAGAGTGGCCCAAGATTACAACGCAAGATTACAATATATCCAACACCTTACCCGCAGCTAAGACCAAGATTTCAACTTGGGAAAGGTTAGCAAGATCTTGGTCTGGCGCGACCCCGACCAACATTGGCAAGATTTTGGAAAGAAACAACGATCCTCAAGTGCCGGCACAATCTAGCAGAAGAAGTAGTGGTAGCTGTTGTTGTTGCGGTGGTGATAGTGGAGTGGTAGTGCTGGTACATTCTGCCAGTAGAAGAGGTAGTAATAGTGGTAGTAGTCGTCGTAGTAGTAGTAGTAGTGGTAGTAGTAGTAGCAGCAGTAGCAGTAGCAGTAGCAGTAGCAGTAGCAGTAGCGGTAGCAGTAGCAGTAGTAGGAGTAGTAGTAGGAGTAGTAGTAGTAGTAGTAATAATAATAATAGTAGTAGTAACTTAGTAGTAGTGTCATATTTTGCCGTTGTCTCCGTCGTCCATGTTCCTCCTCCACCTAGTCTTCCCCATTATGTTAGGATTACTGCAAGCAGTACAAAACTCCTTCCATCGTCATCCATCCTGGTTTTTCGACTTGGCTTGTCCTTGGTGTATCTCTGACCGCATCATACCGCATCTACCCACTGAAACCCGCATCGGATGGCTACAGTCTACACGTCGATTACAAGGCCAGTCGAAGGCACATGACATTTCCCTTTTTCCTGCGAGCTTAATTTCAGAGTTAAAGGGCTGAATTCAAAATTTGTGTGTGTGTGTGTGTGCGTGCAGTCGTCTTGGTTGTTCAATTTTGGGGCTTGGCCAGCCAGGACAGAAAATTTGGACAAAGACGTTGCGAGCAAAGTCAGGAGCTAGTCAGAAGCAAAGGGGAAACTGCCGCATCTGACCAATCGAAGCCACACACTAAACTCCTATGTACACCCTGAGCCGTTGCACGGTTATCTCCACCGAAGCCTTGGGCTTGGATCAAAGCCTGGCCTACAGGCCAAAACCGCTTGGGGCAAGTGCTGCGGCCGAGGCCGCCAGGGCGCCAGGGGCCCCCATGGCCCCGTTCGAGGAGATCCGACTCCAAACCGAGCCGAGAGTCGTGAGGGCGGGATGGCACCGGACAACGCGGGCAGTTCTTCTGCTGAGCTCAGTGCTCCCCTGCCATTGCCTGAGGTTTCTTGTCATGTTGGTGTTGTGTTTTACTCTGCGGCTGACATTACTTAAACTCTGCACTGCAGCCCTGCTACTGATGAACTGGAGCTGTTCATTCATCCCGGTGGAGCTTGTAAGATCTCTTTAGGGTCTTCTTGGTGGGCTGTATTCCACATTACCATATTATTGCGGAATGAGCTTCCGCACTTTGCAGGATGAACTCGACCAAACATTACATGAACATATGCGTTGTGGAAACAGAGGATGGGGCAAGCCCGTGGACCCGCGCGCTCTGTAAGTACCATTACCTGATTAGGACTCATGCGATATTCTTTTAGGAGTTTTGCTACTGATGCCAGTTCGGTACGCCAAGCTTCGAAATGTTTGGTTTGCGGCTCAGCGATTACGTCGAGTCAAGTCTTAGCTTCTTCGGTAGTATACTCTCCGTGACGGTGTGCAACGAAGGCAAGCAGGACACAGGCTTTGGCGCTGCAGAGTAGCGCTTCGGGAGCATACGTGCAGAAGCTCGCTATCGTTGCCCACTCGCATCTCTATCTGCAATTGCCCCCCAAATGGCTCGCCAGACGTTGCTTCGACGTACTGCGGTATACTGATCCTGACGAACCACTGAGACTTTCTGGATGTCTGGACTTCTGCAGAAGCCTCACTTCATTGGCATTTAGGGTCCTACAGGCAATGATAGCTTCTTGTGTAGGACTGCGACATCTTGCAAATTAAAACTCCGGCAACTGAACGTGGCGAACCTCACACCTGCACATCCCTGAGTGTTAATAAGGCCGTTAAGGGGTTGTGAATCCGATGCCCTTCTTCACACCCCCAACGCTTTCATGAACTCAACCTGACATTTGTCAGCTGTGCGACGGACACTCTCGGACATGCCAGGCGAGGTTTTAGGGTGCTAGACTTACTTGGGACTGGGCATTACCTCTGAAGCTTAACGGCTTAGCCGCAGTGTCCCGAACTGAATTTGTCACGAGGTGCTGTCGGATCCGATCGAGTCGTGAACAGGAGCTTCGACAGCAAGCAGAAATGCGGCGTCCATCTCCTTCCAATGCACAACCGGCAAGACGAAACTGCAGATCTCCGCTCTAACTATCCACGCTTTCAGCAACATCGTGACAGCTCCGGCCTGTGTGTATGTATGTATGCATGCATGGATGAATGTATGTAACTATGTGTGTATATATGTATACATACACATATACATAGGTGTATTCCTCTATGTGTAGATCAGTAGGTCGGTATATGTATGTGTCTGCATGTGTATGTATATCCTGCATATGTGTGTGTGTATATGTATGTCTGTCTTCGTGCCTCTCTGTCGGCCTGTGTCTGTCTGAAATCAGTCTGTCCGTCTCTCTGTCTGTCTGCCTGCCTGCCTGTCTGACATGCAATGTAATGTAATGCAACGAATGTAATGTGATGAAATGTGGTGTCATGTCTTACACCAGTGATGTAATTCTATGTGTGCTCAATAAGCAACGTCTGTATGCCTGCACCTAAATGGCCAGATGCATAGGCATAGACGGATTGAAGGATAGAAAGAAAGATAGATAGCCTGATAGAGACAAATAGATAGAGCGACAGACCGGCTATGTAGATAGAACACACGCAGATTTGGCCGCCCGCACTGCCGAACGAGTCACTGGGCAGTGTGCCAAGATGCTACTCCGGTCAATTCCCGTGCAGAAGCAGACATAAGTACGATAGATAGACATGAAAGGCAGACTGTCAGCGAGACAGACGGAGAAATAGGTAGGTGGACAATGGATACGAGTAGAAAGATGGAAAAAGAGATAAACAGACAGAGAGATAAAACGATCGATGGCTAGTTGCAAAAACAAGATTCACACAAATAGAGAGTGGGGCTCGTCGCAGCTCAAGAATTGTCGGTTTGCTGTTAATAACCCTTCGCCTCATTGCTCCATTTATTCTTGTAACGTGCGACACCTGCAGCTCTTGTTAATGGCAGTCAGGTCATGTATTGAATTTCTTCAGCTCGAATTCCATGATGGCATCCACCTCATGATCATCACTGGGAACGCACGCCTTCCTTCGCTGGCAGGCTTCAGTATGAGTACGGATATCGTGGAAGGATGTTCGTACCAGTACCACCACCAGGCCCAAGTGCCAGTGCCTGTACCGGTACATCCACAGCCCAGTGCCAATACCAGGGCCAATACCAGTACCAATAGACTTCTACTCTTTGCCCATAGACTTCTACTACTAGTAGTACGACTTATTACTACCACTACTACGACGACTACTCCTACTACTACTACTACTACTACTACTGCTGCTGCCAATGCTACTGCTACTGCGACTGCGGCTGCTACTGCTGCTGCTCGTGCTAGTGCTCGTGCTACTTCTCGTGCCGCTGCCCGTGCCACCTACTGCTTTTGCCACTGCTACTGCTACCGCTGCTGCTGCTACTACTACTACTACTACTGCTGCTACTGCTACTGCACCCTACTGCTGCCACTACTATTACTATTTCATTACATTCAAGCTCGACAATGCCAAGCACGTGGAAAATACCTTTGCAAGCCCAGTTGAGAAATCACTGGCAAAGGCCTTAATATTTGGCGTCGACGATGGCTTTCGTCCGGAAGAAGGCCCCTCCGAAGCCGACGAATGCTTCTTCTCCCAGAGCCTTGGGCTGGCCCGGCCCTTGTTGAGTAAATTCTCATATCCCACAGCAAGCTGCCCCGCCCAGGGTACGAGGTCCAGACCAGGACCAATACTTGCCGAAGCAGTTTTACCTGAAAGTCCGAACCGCAACCCGAACACTGGTAAGACTCCAAACAAAGTTCATCGAAAGAGATGAATAGGCTTTGCCTTTGGGTTGCGCGACCCTCAAGCTAGGAAGGCCATGTTGCTGCCGCGTCCACTTTTCCGCATCAAGAGAGGGTGCGTGGCCAACGGACCGCGACTTACCTCGCTTGGCTGAAGCAATTGTGGTTGGAAATGGGGTAGGAGCCGTGGACACTGAGCTCTTGATCTTCACGCGGTAAAAGCAGATATGAACAAAGGCTCTGGTTAGGTTTTGTAAGGACGCGGCAAATTATGTAGCGGTTTAGCCTCCAGGCTCCTAGCAGCCTGGTACGAGCTCCGTCACGTAGTTAAGCCGTAAGATGTAAAAGATTCTGCTGCTGGTCTAAACATTTTTGTTTCCCTACAAGTTGCTCTCCGTGGAGAGCCGACATAGATGTCTTAGGCAGACCAAATACCCCAAGCCCGACTCTTTCTGCACTAGACAACCTTGCAAAGACGAAACCCGATGAAGCACGAACCCTGAAGATGGGAAGCGACACGCCTATGCTTTTATCCCGAGCCCGAGCGCTCGACCCTAAACTTCTCTGCCTCTGGATAAACGCCTCAAGTCAAGCCCCTATGGCCCTATGGCCGAAACCCTCAAACCCTGCATTCCACCGTAAGCCTACAACATCACCAATGCTTAAGCAACTGCAAGAGCACTTTGTGAATCCATGTAAAAGTTCGCCGTGAACCCTACTCATAGCATCCCAGTGGCTGCGAGTGATCTGTCCCCGATGTCCGTCGGACGGGCTGCAGGAGGTGATTGGCGAGGCTTAAAAGGTTTTCGGATGCTTCGGATTTCAAAAGCATCACAAGCCTCTACTCTTTCTCGTGGAACAGTCTAGTGACACGCTCCTGATGACCGTCGGGGTCTTAGAGGGGTCTGTAGGTCGGTAAAGGTCAGTAGAGCCTTTACAGTACTCGGCCCACCTCAGTTTCCGGACCCACCTGCAGTCACCTACAATCGTACTTCCACGTGTCCCCGTTCCGTGAACCCCTTGAAAACAACATACTCTCAACTTCGGACTTTAAGTGAGTTAAATGTAAAGCAGGAACGCCGGGGCCAGGTCCATTTGGCAAAGTCAGGTAAAGCCCCTGAGAGCAAACAATGCAAACTATTGGCATGAACCCGATTTCGCGTCGGGCAATCACCTCGCTCGCGATCATGCTATACACCATAATCACCCGATACGACCAAAGTGAATTCATCAAAATCGATCTACATAGGCACATGGCCAAGAATCCTCCTCCCGGTGGCAGAGACCAGCTAGGTTTAGCATTGAGCCGCACGCGGTCAAGCAACTATTGATACTCGACACTGCTGGGCGCTGCAACCCGGATAGACGGCATGCAAAACATCTGTTTCGATTCGTCCATCGTTACGGTCAGTGACCAAAGACAAAACCAGAAAATTGAAGCTCGGGGCATCCCAGTGCAACACGTTTCCACAGCCGGTGTTGCGGAAAGAAGGGCAGGCGATTTGCTATACGACGGTGCAGCGGAGAAGATCTTCAATCTCAATTATACCTGCTTTCCGACTATGCCGGCACAGGCTATCTTGGCGAGGAGGATGCGGCCGAATGCGGAGCAGCATCGGCGAAACACGCAGCGTCAGCATGATAACGACAAGATGGACAAACGAACAAAAACGTAGCACCACGTGTTGCACTCACATTGAACCGTGTGACATTCGTTTGGGTATGCTAGGTGTCTCGAACCGTCACGGCGAAGTTGTGCCAAATAACAAGTGTATTCCAGCCGTCACAACTGCGCAGCTTTCACTCTTTGACTCTTATACACCGTTTGCTCCTTGACTTTGAATGCCGTCAGCAGTTTGTCAGCTACAAAAGCCCGCTCCTTGCAAAGCGCTGTAGCCCTGGGCTACCGCAGACCGTCATGCACCAAACCGTTAGCAACTCGCACACCACCACCACCACCACCACCACCAAAACCGATGCCCTGACACTGCTGGCAAGGTGCCTCATTGAGGCGTGGGCTTGCTGTCCTTGAAAGCATAAGCTGAGTTTCAGGATTGACTTTACATCACAAATCGCACAGGCCTCTTCAGCTTCGAGACATGCGTTCCATACCATAACGTGCATGAAGGTATGCATGCATGCATGAGTATACAGCACAGGCACAGCCCGACCCCTAGTCTTTTGAGGGTTCTCGGGCGCGAAGGAAGAATGGAACCTCGACGCCTGGGAGTGCTTGCCATGTCTTGCTGGGCCCACTTTTTGTCGGATTTTTGGTGGTATACTGACAGGGTAGCTATCCAAAGGTTGGGGAGTCAAACCCCGCAGCCCCTCTTCCTCACAAGAAGCCGTACCAGCTGTCTACTTTGCAAATCCCAACACCCGTCGACTCCATCCGAGCTCTCCGAATCTCTCGGTCATTTGGCGACTAGGAGCCAGCAGCGTCCAAAGAGTTCAGATCTTCTGACCTGTTCCGGTGTTTGGGTGGGATTGTCAGTGGATGTCCTCAAGGTTCCGGGGCCGATATGACCAGTTGCGGAAGGAACAAAGTTGCAGAACAGGGTGTGGCTTCAGTTCTGGATTGGAATTCTGCTCAAGGGGGTGTTCTCCTAGGTTGGGTTCCGCAGATCCCACCCGGGTATTGCTGGGAGTTGCTGTATCTGCTATTTCACCTTGCCTACTCGCTGCTCCAAGGACGAAATTCTTCAAGAAAACCGACACGACGATGCCTCGCACACAGGACAAAATGGTCCTCCTCCTGCGCGGCACCGGGTCCTGCACGGGCGCGGGGGTGTTAATAAAAAAGGGCTGAATACTTAGTAAACTCACCGCGTACTGTAACCCTTATCATGTAATTAGCTAACAACGGTTAGTGACGTCCAGGGCACTCTGGCATTTTGGTTGCAGGTCAAAACTTGTGCTCGTGTGCAGACCCTACAGACCCCTGTACGAATACAGCACAAACCTTGGAAGTAGGTTCACGGTGTAAGTACCGCGCTCATTACTGCAACAGTGACGTATTTTGCCATCATAGCGCGGCATACCTCAGCCTTATCGGAACCTGCAGCGCTTGGAATCTCAGCTTACAGCAACTCAGCAACCCACTGAAGCCTCTGAGAACCCTGAACCAAGACCTCCAGCAGAGGCGTGCGAGTGCATAACAGCAGCGGACAAATGAGACTGCATGAAAGCCGACGAGTCCTCAGCTCCGAAGGGCAGGAAGCTGCGGCTTTTGGAGGGTTTGTGATATAAGGTACAGGATGTCGGGTCTGGGTTCAGGTCGTTGGCGGCTTGGGGTCGTGTGGCGGTGCTCGTCCGGACAAGGTGCTTCAATGCTCCAAGAACACCAACACCACCACCAACAACAACAACACTAGCAACAACAGCATTGGCACCAGTGACAGCAGCAGCAACAACATTTCATTCACACGCAGCAGGAGAGGATTCTGTCGGTGTGCAACATTGTCCTCGCTTGCGAGTGTCTTACCTAGGTCCCCTACTGGTCTTGTGGCTATGCTTAACCTTTGATGTGTGATTGATCGAGGATATCTGGAAGCTATGCATGGACTGCTTTAGAACAGGAGAGCATCTCTCTTCGTGTGTCCCGCTGCAGGCCGCGCCGTAGCCCTGCACCTGCATGCGTCCCGCCCCTGAGGGCAGCAGACGACGGGTAGTTCAAGCCCGGGTGTATCTATGACAGGAAATGGACTGCCTTCCGCCGTAGGCCATGCTTGAGCTTTATGACTGCTTGAAACAAGCCCTAGCATGTTTGCCTCCTCGTCGCTGTCGACTGATCTTGTGCTTGCCTAATGGGTAGGCTGGGAGATCTTTTGCGAGCTGCCCTGGAAGATGCATCAGTTAACATGCGCCACCCGCGTTGTGCGGGATCCGTTCGTAGAACGAGTTCAATGTTGAACTCTCGTCGGTTAGGCAGCGACACTCGCAGAAGGGGTATCCCTGGTCCTGCCGGAATCTCACCAGGACTGCTCGTGGTTGTCGTGATTGGCGGAATGCGTCATGCCATGGCCACATTCGAAGGAATCATCTCCACCGAACCCGGAAAACCTGGATTTGGGGCGCAGCCCCTGCCAACGGGGGAGGACCTGTTGCCAGGGGAGTAACTCTTCCTGATGTAAATGCACCGGGCAAGCCGCCTGGTAGAATGACTCCGCCCGAGCCGGATGCCTTAGCTGGTGTTGGCGGCGGCGGGCCGCTTGCCTTTTGTGGTGTGGGTGGCGGTGGCCCTTTTGGAGCCGAGGCCTTGGCCGAGGGATCAGGGTCAGGGCCTGACGTGGGCTCGATGTTATCGCTGTCAGTGGAGGGAGCCGAGGCATCTCAACTCATTCTCCTGCACACTTGGTTCGTTCCGGCATTGGATCGACTTCTTGGATTCCCGCGGCAGCTGAGCTTGGTCAAAGAAAAGCTCCGGCACGTTGGATGTAACGC